AAAGAAGCAAGAGAGAGAGAGAGAGAGAGAGAGAGAGAGAAAGGGAGCGATTGAGAGTCAGCACAGGTGAATGAAATGAGGGGTCGATGTTTGTACGAAATCAAACATATTTGTCGTTTGAGCGTCGATAACAATTTCAATGCAAATCCGGTAGAATGTGTTACCATTTGGACATGGCGCATCGCGTGTACTCGTCGAATGACTGACTGTGAGAAGGTAAAAAAAGTACACACATACACACATCGTAGCAATGATCCAATTTCGTGTCGTGACAGTCATTTAATTCGTGAAATAACCGCATGCTGGATATATACCCTGAGCAAAATTGCACACATTTCGACATTTTACACAGAAAACATATTTCCGCTGAATAAATTCGAGCAAATGGAGTGTGAGAAACGAAGAACGGAGAAAGCGAGACAAACACAGAGAATGAGTGAGATTGAGAGACATAGACACAGACACAGATACAGAGAGAAACAAACAGAGAAGAAAAAACAACAACTAACGAACATCAGAGAATTTGTCCGTTTTTTTTCTGTGCGTTGTGAATGTCGCAATTTATTGTTTGCGAAAAATGTTAAATGTTTCGAATTGTTTTTGCAAACGATGCGTATTTTTGTTTTGTTCTTCGTCGTGCGTTTTATTCTGCGAACAAGCGACTCGGTCGGACTAGCGTTTATATACACTGTATATCGCAAATTCGCCACAAATAATTCGAAGCATTGTAATTCGAATGTTGTGCTCTCTGTTGCCGAGCTATCAAAATGCCATATATGCTTGTGTTCGAATTGAAATTCCGTTGCATCATAATTGACATTTCCGTGGAAGCAAACAAAAAAAGAAATCATGTGGAATCACAGCCTTCAAATCGGCAATTCCATACGGCCGCACAGTATGTTATTCGCAACAACAAGTATATAAATGGTTTGCTCACGATGACAAAAGCCCTCTGCACATAATTCTAATAAAATTAATTGGACTTGGAACAAAAGGCAATACCGACGGTCCAAACGCATAAATACCATATTGTGGTTTTGGATTGCAAATAGCATACATTAAGGACGATTGTCAAAAGCTACACAAAGCATTCATTTTCATTTCGTGTATCATCTCGCCGACTTACTGATTGTATAGCCGCTGCTGCTGCTGTGGCTGCTGTGGCTGCTGTGTGTGTGTGTGTTTGTATGTTTGTGAGAATTGCTTGAGTGGGGGTGTTTTGGCAAATATTTCGCGTTCCAATTGTTTGCTATTAGACGACGATCATTGTGCACAATGGGTGTGAATCTGGTGTCCCGATTACTCCTGTACAAAGGATGAGGGTGCGGTGCGCGCACAAGGGGAGATAAATAACAAGTGAAGCAACATTCCAAAAACGCATTTCATGCTTGAAGCACAATTGTGGCTTTCTGCAAAAGGACTCGCCAGATATTGTTGTTTATGTTGTCTCCCTCACATACACACACACAAACACATTCGCTCTTACTCGTCCATGACATTCCAATAGTCATTTTCATTCGAAAAATGGCTCACATGTTCATTGCTTACACATGTTGAATAACAGCGACAGATAGTGTTAGAAGATTTGCACTATGCGGTTTCGTCTGCCCGCTCCACACTTGCGCCCATTTGCCACGATAACGCACATGAAGCTGAAAATATATCTATTTTCCGTAATTATGTGACATACGTTTTTAGATATGAGCATTTGAGCATGAGAATGATTACGAGAGCACGCAAGCTCAGCAGGAGCCCAATAATGATGGCACACTGTTCTGTCACTTGTAATAATTGTTTCGGAAGTTCGCGAGAACGGAATATTGTTCAAGTAGAAAATCGTATTTCACTGAATTGTAACAAACATTTCATTGTCATTGAATTATCCCTAAAATACCTTTGCCTCTATCTCTCTCTCTCTCTCGCTCCCTTTCACTCTCTGATCTCCATGTCTCGATTTTTTTTCTATCTCGGTGAGTGTATTCATGTGACGACGGTGTTGTTTGGTTTGAACGGTACGTGCGTGAGTATGTGTGTCAAGAATATGGTTAGAAAAAAAGTCGCGGCTTGAAATATCTATTGGCTGTGTCATCATCATGCATCATGGTGTTTGGTATCGGTGGTGGCATTTCAAATTAAATTTTCGATGGCTTTTGTGAGGTACGACGAGTTGAGTCTATTTTTTTCCACATCGCCTGCTGTTGTAGTTCATCGTCGTTCATTTTAATGATGGGAGCAGTTAAATGGATATATTTCGAGTAGATAGCGCCATAATTGACACAATTTCTCTTGCAAACAACATACACACACACACAACACATTCGCAAAAAGTGAAAATGTGCATTGGAAAACAAGCGTTCAATTTATGTTCTAATGCTGCCCCCAAACTGTGTGTGTGTGTGTGTGTGTGTGTGGAAGCGAGAGCGCGCACCGCATTTCGTTTTGTATACGATGACCTATTTTTGACTTTGGTTGCTGCCAGGAGCAGAACGCAACGCTATTCGCATAGTGCACGCCATTTAAATTTATGTGTAATTAAATATGCGCACATACGGGAACCGAAACAACTGGCCCAGCAAACAAACAACAAAAAACACTAAAATAACGAAGCACCAGAACATAGTCGGAACGATGTCGACTACGACAACGATGATGGTGATGATGATGGTGAGAGAGTGAGAGGGAGCGTACGCGCGCGCGCTCATTTGAAAAACGTACCCATTGATATCAAAGCAACTGAATCAAGCTGTACATATTGTACCGCGCCTCGCCACGCTGCACACAAACCATTTTCTAAATTGTTCGATATAAATTTTGATTATTTGCATATTTATGGCATTTAGTAATGCGCTTCGCAGTATAAACTCTTCATTTTTATTGTGCACCCAATAAAATGCACATAGCCAGAATAATGAGCATCCAGTGTACAACGATGAGAATTTCTGTGCGCACTACTTGTTCTCCGTAGTCGATATTATCGGTTAGCAGCTTGTAATTTAATTTTTGGCCGTACATTAATCGAAATGGGTTAACATTCGACGTTCATTATATAAATCAAAATACGATTCATCATCTTCTTTTAAAGGAGCATGTTTTTTCAGCGATTCGAAGCGTTCCGTTCTCTTTTTTGGTGTCTGTGTGTACTTATGTGCGAGAAGGGTAAAAAAGCGAGAATCCGAAGAACCAATTTATTAAGAAATCAGGGTTTATCGTCGCTCATATCCTCCATCCGAATAAGAAAGGAAATTTGTATGCTCACATCATTTCGCAAATCCATTGCAACAAAGTCCTATATAATGGTAGAAGCTAGGGGAATTTATCATTCAATGCAGTTTGTATGATTGAAGTCTTTTTCCAAATTCAAACAATATTCTTATGTTTACACACAGATTCAAAAGATTCTCTCAGATTCAACACATTACTGTGAACGAATCATCATGAATATGATGAATCTGATGAATCTCGTGAATACAAATTGAAAATGGCGACAGAACTGTCAGTCGTCATATTAGATTTCAGTTAATAAAAGATTCATAAGATTCGTAAGATTCACACCATTTGGAAAGTGAGTGATTCCCCTAGGGTAGAAGCAGCAACAAGACACACACACACACACACAAAAAGTAACAACAAATCGAAACGGGCTGTTGAAAACATGGATATGGCATTTTGCTAATATTACTACAATTGATGGAATCCGATTGTGTGACAATAAATAAAATTGATAGCATACACAGCCATCAATTTTATTTTTGTTTATCTGGTGGAATTTCAATTCCAAACATATTTGTATGCTGATTGGCATCTGGCTGACACGCATACACATACACTCGCTCCCCCACTGCCACTCGTTCGAACGCTCGTTCTCATGCTCCCCACAATTGCACATTCATTTTAATGGTGAATTATTCAGACATTTGTTTGTGTCTCTCGCACACACACACACACACAAGTAAATAGTATGACACGAAAACGCCACTATCGCTCGAGATATATGTGGATGTTGACAAAAAAAACGATGTGTGGCTTTTTAGAGCATAAACCAATTGAGGTGAAATCTTGCTTCGACCCAAACAACGACAAATCTTAAATTTATTCGGGATTTTCCTCGAATCGAAACTGTGTTTTTTTTTCTCTTCAGTGCAAATTATTTGGGCAGAGTGGAGTGTCTCAATAGGGAAAAAAAGCTGATCATCGTCGATGCGAATAAGTCGTTGAAATTTGAATGGCAAAAAACAAGAATGGGCCGATTCATAAAACCAATACAAAACGGTAATTACAACACATTCAAAAACCATAAATTCATGGAAAGTTTCAGGTTTTAATGGTGATGGCACGTGATTCGTAATGTGTGCGGCATATAAACACACCATTTTATGTGATATTCAGAGAGTCCAGGGAATGCCATTTTCCGCAGGTATTTATGTTTCGCTAGTTTATGGAAGTCATTTGGTTATCAGAGAGCACACAATTTTATGACTCAAACTAACATGCCTCTCCACTGACCTCAATAAATTAGTTTGTTTTTATTTCAGCCGGAGAAAAAAAAAGATATGGAAAATAGAACAACACGAAGAATGAATGAAATGAGCGAAAAACAACCGACGAAAAAAATCGTCGTCGCTACTTCCAAAAACTAAACACAACATTCCAAATTTGATCAAAGGGTCGTTTGTTTACATTTTATCGGCTGTTGACACATGTTTGGTTTTGTTTTATTTTGTCATTTGTTCTCATGTTAACAACCTTCTGGCAAATAAACTTAAATCACACCTGAGCAATCTATCAATAACAAGGGGGAATTAATAAAACTATAGTTTTTGTTTATTACGAATTAAAGCGACACTTTATTATCTCAAATTACTTTATTTACATGCCTATAATTCTTTCTTATGTGTATGTTAAGCGAGAATAAATTACATTTTCTTCGAAAAACACTCAAACAAAAACAAAACCATTCATGAAAACCATTCATTTTCACACATTATCATTTGAGCTGTAGGTAAAAATGTATGCCAGTGCGGTTTGTTTGTGATTTGCCCCTTGTTCAAACAATTTCAAGGTCCTGAAATGCCATCACAATACTTTCTCATTCAATTGGCGAACCGATTTCAGTCTGGTGCAAAGCGATCAACTCATCACTTGTCATTTTTTTTTATCGTGCTGAAGCATCATGAAATTGATCTGGGCATTTTTAACTGTGTGCATTGTGCAAATTGTAAGTAAATTGTGCCTAATTTATATAAAATCAGATGAGATTGTAAAGTGACCGCTTCGTTTTTTTAGGTTCAACATGCTTCTGAACCGGAAGGTCAAGCCGAGTCGTATGAATTGTCTGTGCTACTTCCAGACGTGCACCCGTTGGCGTTACGTCATTTGCGCGGGAATTTCGTAGCGAGAATGTTTAGAAAACGAAAAAGGTCGACAATTCGCTCGAAAGGCCGTACCAAACGACGCGTCTATATAACATCAAGTAGTGCAAAAAGTTCGAAAAAATGCTGTAAAAGCAAACGGAAATCAAAACAGAAAAAACAAAAGAAATCAAAACGAAGTGGTACGAGGAAAAGGATAAAAACAACAACGACGGTGGTGACGAAATCGACGACTGTGGGTGCAGCATCATCATTCAGTGGCGGCGTGGGCAGTACTAACGGTGCGACAGCATCGACTGCCACCACTGCTTCCACTGCTACGACTCGTTCAACTAGCTCGACAAGCTCGACTAGCTCGACAAGCTCGACTAGCTCGACAAGCTCGACTATCGCAACTGGTTCGACTAGATCGACCAGCTCAACTAGCTCCATTAGCTTGACAAGCTCAACAGCAACGTCATCAACAAGCAGCACCAGTTCATCCGGTAACGTTTTTTTTCCTTCTTCATATTCTCTGTGTTTCATGTGCTGTGATGGTAGATGCATGTCGAAGAATATTGATGGATTTCAGTGTTTTTCTAGCTTGATACAAAACAAACATTTATTTTAATGTAGAAGATTTGTAAAAAATTAACTTTGATCGAAAATAATCATTTCTTTGTTTACTTTTCAGTCATTGTAACATCGAATAATGGTCGCCAACCGATTATTAATATTTCAGTTGGAAATGGGACTAATATTACTATTAATAATACAAACAATAATCCGAATAATAACACAAATACGAATACTGTGCCAGGAGGTGGGAGCACTGATAATATTACTGGCTCAGCATCTGCAAATTCGAGTGCGAGTGGAGATAACGCTATGACTAGTGCAAATGCAACAATTACAGTAGGCTAATGCTAGAATCGTATCATGTTTAACATTCGATCCCATCGAACGAAATCTACATTACTTATAGCTCAAAATGTAAATCGAAAAACATACACACATAAAAATGAATTAAATATTATACAAATGTAATAACACAAATTTTTCACAAATGACACTGTCATGCTGATGTCATAAAACTGTCCATTTCATTTCGCGTCGTCATCCGAGAGAGAGAGAAAATACATACGAAAATTGGCTAATTTGTTTTTTTTATCTTTTTGAATCTAAATGCCAAAAGCACAATTCTCATACAACGCGAGAGAGAGAGAGAGAGAAATACAAAAACTTTGTCTGACCTTTCCATGATGTGAAACGATCCCTTTTTTTCCGATGTTATCATTAAAAACAGATTTTATTGTTTTGGCTGTGAGTGAGTTTTGGCCCTAACTAAAACGACAGGCATAAGCGAAAAAATATATAAAATATTCAAATTTATACAAAATTTGTATCGTTTGGTGTCGCATCTTTTCTGTCTTCGTTTTTTTTTCGACGTAGAGAAGAAAAAATTTTTGTAATTGTACCTTAAGTGAAATGGAGGCAAAGTAAAAAAAATGAGTAGAAAAAATGAGAGACATAATTTTGTTTGCCATCTTTAGCTGCCTCATCACATGCAAAAGATTGACTCCGGTCAAAAGTTTTCCTCTTCCGCGTAGTTTGCATCAACTGACCCGTTCGCTTTCTCGCACTCGTCCGTCACAAAAATAATAAAACGCAGCAGAGGGAAAAAAGGAGAAGTGAATGCGGCAACGATAATCACAAATTTTGTTTACTTATAGCTTCCTCTTCATTAAATGCAACAGTCTCTTTCGAAAGGGTCGACAATGTAAGGTACTTGAAACGAACTTTGTTTGCATACACACACAACCATATCATCATTATTCATCCCTTGCCGACTGCTTCCATTCACAGCTAAACATAATTCTTGTTGATGGAGACAGAGATAGAGGAAGAGAAAAAGACAGAGAGCAAAAGAGTGAGAGATAACGGAAGAGTAGGAACCGGGATTGTAATCAGATGATAAAAAAAAATCATACCCACTTAGCGATTGAGTGTCCCCATTTTTCAGTCGTAAATAAACAACTTGACTCTCGAGTAGCGAAAGAACTCGAACACAACGAAAACAACTACACGGAATAGAAAGTGTTTCATTGTCAATCGAACAAATAAGAGTGAAATAATAAGTGCGTCTATTAATTTCGCGCTTGTTGTGTATTCATTTCCCCAATAGAGTATTCCACGCAATAGAAACATGCTCTAAATTTCCAAATCATTTGACTTTAGTTTTATTACGTTGCTATTATTTCACTCACTGTTTATGTACCTGTGTGTTGTTTAATATTTAGATTTGCCCGACTTAATAATTTGCTGTTCAAACAGCAACCATTGAGCATGGAGTATGGCATGTTTATGTGTTGCCACAAAGGAAGTGGGTCAAATGATTCTTCACCCTATATACCAGCTCTCGTTTGCTCGCTCTCTGTCTCCAATCTCCATGCCATGCCATTATTAATTTCATTAAACAGTTGATTCAAACCTGAGTTGACTGTACGTCTATTCACATTCGCATTTTCAACATTCCGGTGTCATCCAATCTTGATTTATTCACTAGCTACCTGATCTATTTTCCAAGTTCATACATTTTAAAGCCTTTGTTCGAAACTGAAGCCAATTCATCGAGAGCAATGATAGAGAACAAGAGAGAGAGAGGAAGCATTTAAACGTGCGGCTAATTACATTAACGCTATTTACATTATCATTATCAAAATAATGTATAGCAAACGGCTTGGCTCGAACGAACGAACGAACAAGCGCTCGATTGACGAACCGTAATTCAAAGCACATCAAAAATTCCAATCCCTTTTATTACCATTTACTTTGAATCTAAATATTATGCCAAAACAGACGCCATTAAAATAATTTATTAATGACATTCTCCCGGTCAATCGAGATGATAATAATGAAATGATTTCAACGTGATCCATTTAATTTTCTATAAATAACACCATATGAACTTCTTATCACTGGCATTACATAATTCATATTAGTTGAATATTCCCCATCACATAGTGTACTGTAAACAGTATTCTGTATTGTGTGTGTGCTGCGTAAAACGATGACGATGACAATGGCGCTGCTGGCCACGCAAGTAAAGATAAAGCCCAATTGTTTACCCAGTACCACTACTACCACCACCATCATAATTATATATCAATAAAACGCCGAGTTTTCAATGAAACGAAAAATAATCGGGCTAAATGAAATTGCCATTTCAATGGCAATGTGCACACAATATACCGAAATATAATAAATTATTACCTTCCAAAACACATAATAAATTATTCATCATCGAATGTTTATTACTCGCTTAGAAGAAGAAAACTCTTATTAATATTAGGAAGTGGCGGGGTGAGCTTGCTTACGCGCACGTCTTTCGAACGTAAACGTGTGACAAAGGAAAGTAGCCACCAAAATTAATGCGGATTTTCATTAAATTATTGCATTTGCCAGAGGAAGTTCGTCGCTTCCGAAAATTCCACGGAAAATTGAAAGTGATGTGGCGTGAAGTTAATGAGCATGCTGAAAAATGCTCCAGAGACGGAGATGGGAAAGGGCGGAAATGTGTGAGTTATACAGTGAGTGTGTGTTAGTTCCCATGAGACGCATACAGCACATTTTCCCACTTTGCCGCAGTCGTAAAGTAAACAAAAACCCATAATGAAATGGTCACATTTTCATTAAAAATTTAAAAATTATTTTCAAAGTCTAATGATTATGGCTTTTGGAATCTTTTTCGGCTTTAAAGTTTCATCGCCCGCCACCAACAGTGGAATATCGAAGTTTTTAAGCAATAAAAACAACGTGAACCAAAACAATGGCCGTAGATTAACGTACAGACGGTATCGTTGAAAGAATTGAAAAGCATTTTATGGCGA